CGCCCTCCGCGCAGGGAACGTGCCTCCCGCGCCGCGCCGCGCCGCGCCGCGCCGGCCGAGCGGACGCCGCTTCTCTGGCGCCGGCGGCGTGCGGGCTGCCGCAGCCCCGTCGAGGCCGGGGGCCGGACGGAAGGGGCGTCCGGGCCCTGCGGTGCTCGGCCGGTGTGCCGGCGAGTCCCGGCCTGCGGCTAGCCTGCGCACGCGGGCAGAGAGGCCGCGCGTCGCCAAGGGTGGCCGCCCCAGCGCCCGGACGGCTCCTCCGCGCCCGTCGCAGCAGCCCGCCCCCTCCCGGGAGGAGAGCCTCCTTCGCTTGCCGTGGCGGAGAGCTGGGCCGGCGGAAGGCTACCGGGACCGCTGCAGCCCCCTTCCCCGGAGGAGGCAGCCGCCTCGGGAAGGCTGACGGGCGCTGGAGGGCCCCGGCGGAGCGGGGGCGGCCCATCCTGGGAGTCTCCAAACCTTCCTCTTCCCCTCCTCCTCCTCCTCACTATGGAGGTACTGTCTGCCAGGACACTCTCTGGGGCGTATGTTGCTGGTTAGAGTGGAAGGTGTCCAAGCTCACTAAGCAGGCTTCCCGGGGGTCATTTCCTCACCCCTTCCCCGTCCGCCTCTTTCATGGCCACCCCAGCATGGCTGGCCGGGCAGTTGGTGACCCGCTGCTCCCGCTTGCCTCAGCTAGAAGCGCCCTCCACTTCCTCCAGGCAGGGAGGCAGGAAGTACAATATTCCAGTATACAAAATTGGAAACAGTTTAAACAACTGAAACTGTTTCAATCAAAACTGTACTGACTGTAACCCTGGCAGGTCCCATCATAGGCCACTCAATGCCGGGACAATACCAGGGCCAGGCGAGCCTCTGCGGGGGGAAGATTCCTTAGTGGGGCCACTGCTGGGAAGGCGGTGCTGCGGCCACGCCGGGAGGTGGCAGTCAGAGGAAGGTCTGCAGTGGGGGTCCTAGTGCCTGGAGGCTGGGGGAGCCGTTCCGCCGGGCGCTGCAGCCCCAAGGTTTGCAGTGTGAGCCTGCACTGAAGTGAGCTCTTCCACGTGTCGGCGACTCGCCAGCCGGCAGCTCCCTCCAGAGAGATGCGGTCTGGCTCCGTTGAGGCATGGCGGCCAGAAGCGTGGCACCGTCAAGTTGGCGGGAAGGTCAGCCCTGTGCTGGGAGGCCTGGCGGTGCCCCCTTCTGCCTGGGAGGCGGCATGGGGGGAGGCCCTGGGGACGGGGAGGAGGGTGGCAGTCGGGGCGGAGAGGGCACGAGGGCCGGTTGCTTGTGCCGGTCGCCGCAGAGGGGGCGGGCGTGGGGCCCCGGAAGAGAAGGGTGTCCAGGGTGAGCTGATGGAGCGAACGTGGAGAGGCCTCTCCGCCAAGGAGCTCAGGCAGAAGGGGAGAGCGCCTCACGCTCATTTGCGGCTCTCATGGTGGAAATATGCTTTGATAAAATGTCGCCGCATAATTAGTCCAATCGGAAGGACAAAAGAAAGGAAGGGTGTGTGTGTGGGGGGGGGGGCTTGGGCCTGTCCCCAAACTGATAATAATGATGTTGGACAGTTTGTAAAATCCAATAAGCCCTGTGGAAGTGTCTGTATCCATCAACATTTTCTCATCCTTGGTGAGGATTAGGGGTAGAATGGACGTTGGCTGCGAGCGCCTTCCTTCGGGGAAAATGGGCCGGATTAA